TTTTTTTTTTTTTTTTTTTTTTTTTTTTTTTTTTTCTGTGGGGGAGGAGTTGCCTAGTTGGTTTTGCGTTGTCAATACAGATTGAATGTTTGGTACGGAACATGATTGCGGTGTAATACGCGTCGAAGTATTGTTTTAAGGTTTTGTATATTGATATTTTATCTCAATGACTATTTCTTCAGGTGGCAATCCGTTTGTTTGGTGTCGCGATTAACCATTAGTCATGGTAAACATTTGAAATTTATTTTTCTGTTGTTCACGTTTTACAGAATAATCAAAATAAAAGCATTTTCTTTTTTGTACCGCGGACTGCATAGCAGTCGAGTATTTAACCGCACTCGAATGTTAGCTGAGTAGAGACCAGTTCTGCAGGGGCAGGCAGGTTTAAAAATTGTGTTAGTGCATTTTTTTTTTCTGATGTTTCGCTTGTTTTTCTCCCGTTTTTTGAATTTTTTTTTTAGCGGGAAGTGATTTCAATACACGTTGGCCAAGCTGGAGTCCAAATTGGTAATGCTTGTTGGGAACTGTTCTGCCTTGAACATGGCATTCAACCCGATGGTCGCATGCCGTCAGATAAGCAGGGTCAAGTTGATGATTCTTTTTCAACCTTTTTTTCCGAAACTGGTGCTGGACGTCATGTTCCCCGAGCAATTATGGTTGACCTTGAGCCAACTGTTGTAGGTATGTCTTTTTTTTTCTTTGTTAATTAATCATAAGTTGGTAACTGACAGCGAGTTATAAGTCATTTATCGATGAAGTGACTCTTAGCCGTATTTGAAGGGCAGATTCCTGTGTGCGTAACGGAAAAAGTTTTTAGATGAGATCAGGACAGGGACGTACAAGCAGTTATTCCATCCTGAACAGATGGTGACAGGCAAGGAAGATGCTGCAAATAATTATGCACGTGGTCATTACACAATCGGTAAGGAGGTGATCGATCTTGTTTTGGACCGCATCCGTCGACTTTCTGAAAATTGCTCCGGACTTCAAGGTCTGTTTTCGATGGAAAATTTGATTGCAACTCCTGAGTTCTTGATTAAATACTGGAATTTTTTTAGGATTCCTCATCTTTCATTCATTTGGTGGTGGTACGGGGTCAGGATTCACATCTCTTCTGATGGAGCGTCTATCAGTTGATTATGGCAAAAAGAGCAAATTAGAATTCTCCATTTACCCAGCACCGCAAGTTTCAACAGCTGTTGTAGAACCTTACAATTCAATCCTTACTACTCACACCACTTTGGAGCATTCAGACTGCTCGTTCATGGTTGACAATGAAGCGATATACGACATTTGCCGCCGCAGTTTAGATGTTGAAAGACCATCTTATACAAATTTGAATCGTTTGATCTCACAGGTCCACCTTCCACTTCATTAAGGCATTTTTAATTATTTCTCAGCATTTAGCCAAACTTATGAAATTAATAAATGTTTTGAGGCGAAGCAAGGAAACTATTTTTAGGTTGTTTCGTCAATCACTGCTTCTTTACGTTTTGATGGTGCTCTTAATGTTGATCTGACGGAATTCCAAACAAACCTTGTACCATACCCCAGGATTCATTTTCCATTAGCCAATTATGCCCCAGTAATTTCTGCTGAAAAAGCCTTCCACGAAGCTCTGAAAGTTGCTGACATCACAAATGCATGTTTCGAACCAGCGAATCAGATGGTCAAAGTGAGCCATTTTTTAAAATGATGTATTACGTTTTAGTAAATTGTGAGTTTGGGTAGTCCCTGTTTGCTTGGGATATCCTCGTTTACTCTTATGGTGTTGTGCAGGGAAATTTCCCATCACTCCTGTTGCACTGTTTTCTGCCTGCTTCTCATTATTTTTTGATGAATTGTCGTTACAGTGTGATCCTCGTCATGGAAAGTATATGGCTGTTTGCTTGTTGTATCGGGGAGATGTTGTGCCCAAGGACGTCAATGCTGCAATTGCTTCCATAAAGACTAAACGGAATATTCAGTTTGTTGACTGGTGCCCTACTGGTTTCAAGGTAAGAGGTGTTTGAAGTATTTTATGTCGAGTGGTGTGGAATTGGAGTGGGGTTTTGTCATCTTGGGTTTTTGCAGAGCTTGTTTTTTGTGGGTTGGGAAGTGTGAGTAATGTGGTATAAGAAGTAGGTGACGACTTCTCTTTTAGGTAGGAATCAATTACCAACCACCCACGGTTGTCCCTGGCGGCGACTTAGCGAAGGTTCCCCGCGCAGTTTGTATGTTGGCAAACACTACGGCAATAGCTGAAGCTTGGGCACGACTCGACTACAAATTTGACTTGATGTATGCTAAGCGTGCGTTTGTGCATTGGTACGTTGGTGAAGGTATGGAAGAAGGCGAGTTCTCTGAAGCTAGAGAGGATTTGGCTGCATTAGAAAAGGATTATGAGGAGGTGAGTACAGCTTGTAATCGCGAGTAATTGTAATCAGTATTTACACTGGATGTTGTGAGAGGATGTTTGTTCAGTTTTGAGCATTTAAACATCGCATTTTAGGTTGGAGTTGACTCACTGGAAGGCGAGGGCGAGAACGACGAGTATTGAGGGGGGATCGTTATTTTGATGTTTTAATTCTTGTTACACATTGTCCATGGATTTTATCGGCTTTCTACTTTTTTGAATCATATTTTCTTAGAAGAGCATGAGTAAACTCTTCTTTATTTTTTGTTGTTCCAAGAGCACGAGATGGGCTGTCTTAAGGTAATTGCTCTTTAGCACGATGTGTTCGTGTGGCCAATTACTCTTTGAGACCATTTTATTGAAAGCATTTTGAGCATTAGTTCATAATTACAGAAACTATTGCCTTATCATAATACGATTTCTGGAAATTTTGACCATATAAAAGGAATGACCATAATCCTTCCACGATGAGGCCTCTGCAGATTCTCAATGCTCAGGAGCGGAGACAGAATTCCTGGTTAAAAGTA